ACGACGGCGATATTTACATAAATTTGAAGTTCAAAGAATCAAACCTATCATGTTGGTAAGCAATATGTGTATATTAGACCATTAAAAAAGACGAAAACATCATTATTCTCGAATTTTTTGACAGCCCTCGTACGTGATGCACAAAAAAGGAAAATAATCAAATTTCCTTAATACAAATTATTTTTACATATTTCTTGTAACGATATCTACTTTTTCAGTAATGTAGGGCTTAGCATAGATTACACACAGTTCGCTGGATAAGATATATATCTTATCCAAATTTTTTCTTCTTAATTACAGACCTTCAAGATGGAATCAGCATTTTTTTAAAATGTTGAAATTCAGAATAATGAAATGTTATCTTCAAAATCTTCAAATAGTTCATTCTAACATATTAACAATAAACAATTCTGTAGTGAGTTGATAATTTTAAAGGCTTCAAATTAAAAAAAAAAGAACAATTGTAACATACACAACTGTCAATAGACGCATTTGAGAAAGCATTCGAAACTGAAACCGCATTTCTTTAATGAATGTAGTGCGGCAGATGCATCGGTTGACAAAGTTTTATCCCAGGGTGTCAATTTCAATGGTTAACCTTAAAACAAAACAGGCACTTTTTATATATAATGTATTTTGTTAGGATATGATTAAGGACAAATATTGACATTCACCTTGAAAAGTGCAACCATTTAAATTATTAAGTTAATACTGGTTGTATTTTTTTTAAAATTCCATAAACTCTTTTTTTATATTTAGGATAGCTGGTTTTCCAAGGGAAATCAGTTTTAAATATTTTCCTCAAAAACGTGCTGTATTTATTTTGATTTACTGAAGCTTCACAGATCAGAGATTGTAGTAAAGTTATAGTTTTGAACGGCTTTCAAACTATTGGCATACGTGTTTTCTAGATAAGAAAGCTTTAAAAAAGATTCACTGACCTCTTTATCAATTGTTTGCACTCAGGGTATCCTTTATCATCTAAAGTTTCGTTATTTCTGTGTTTGTTGTTTTTTCCCAATCAACCTTTACATCGTACACAAGCTTTCATTGATGTAAAGTTTATTTGGCATCTTTCAAATGCACAAATGGCATTTAGAGGAATATATGACGAACCGTATGTGCATAAATAACATGCATACTACATTATCGTTGTGTTACATGTTGCCAAATGTATTAGTATTGTTGAAGGTAACATTATAAATTGTAAAATGTATCTAGACTTATTAGATTTTAGATTGAAAAAAAAATTGACAGAGTATGGTGAATTACCGTGTCACCCATAGAAAAAAAAACTGTATTACATGTATTTTTATTGCGCACAAAAAGTTGTGTTTGATTCTTGATATATATCTCCACATATTAACCTCAACAGCACGAAAGCTCAATTTCAAAAATATTCACAAGCCCCTATCAACTATTCTTTTAGCTGACATCTGACGAAGCTCGTTGAACCGAATTATCATGCCATGCAAAATTGCAGTACAAATAGGCGAAAGTTTGGATGTTCTCGATTTCAGGTCAGATGGGCTTTTAACAACGATTAAGGGAAATGTGTTAATGTCGGAATAGTAAAGAAAAATGTTCGGAACCCACGGTTAGTAATATTTTAAGATGGGAATTTAAATATAAGGAGAAATATACCGAGAAACACCGCACTTTTGTGCGCAAAAAATATTTATTTTTATGGGTGGCACTGTACCTCTCTGGTTCCATTTTTATCAGATCAGCAAGCTACAGATCTGCTCCTAATGAATTCGTTAAAATAAATATAGTGGATTCTCAATATACGTGGTTTTTTAACTTTAAATTTCAAATATGAATACTAACATTTATTTTACAATATACAATCAAGTATTTACACACACAACTCTTACTTTGTTGACAGTTGCATTATGGACGAAAAGAAACTGTGTCACATAAAAATCACACTGGACATCATTTATACCCTGAATATAAACTGACACATTATTCATTTAACAATTGTAACTCGGGTACATTTCAACCGATCTTTATCAAAATTTTTTTAACGAATTAAATTTCAAACATGAATACTAGTTAACATTTTTTTACATTACACAACAAAGCATTTTACATACACAAATTTTACTTTGTTGACAATTGTATTATGGAGGGAAAGAAACTCTTGTCACATTGAAATCATATATACACAGTCAGTTTGCATTAGACATCATTTATATCCTGAATATACACTGACACATTATTAACTAAAACCTGAAATTCATTTAATCATTGTATCTCGGGTACATTTCAACCGATCCATATTTAAATAATCAAATATCACGAGGTCGGTAAACATGGTAATTTACAAACGCCAACGTGCCAAGCAACATACGTCCAAAATATCAAACCGTTAGCTCTAACGGTTCTCGAGAAACAGTGTGGGAACGGACGGACATCCAAAGAGATACACGCCGGGTAAAGTGACCCCTATGTGCCGCTCTACTCTGCAGGCGACACAAAAATAGAATTTATGTACTTTCAAGACCTACGACTTGGTATTAACTTTGTAATATGATTTGCTGTGTTTTTCAAAGCTAAAGTCAATATTTATCCTTTTTTGAGAAAATACATAGAGGTCCGTGTTTACTCTGCTCCAATTTTTTATTGTTTCAATGGACCTTTTTTAAGCATGACTACTGATCGTTATCTGCATATTTCATTAGACGATATTGATGTCATTTTTGCTTACTCCTAAATCAATGCACATGTAATATTTATATATATTTGAATGTCCATTTTCCCTTTTGATACGGAATACATTCATACTGCAAAATTAATTGTTAATACTTCCTACCTGAAAAAAATTTTCATCTTGTTTTATTCCACCGGTACCTCTTGTGATGGCTGTTGAAGGGCCTCAATCTTTGCCTCGTGGAATTTAAGGTACATGTAGGCCTGGGCTTCCAAAATTTTCTGTCAAACTAATTTTTTTCTTCATATAAATACTTAAAATAACCCATAAACTAACTAAAACGCCCATAAAAGAATAACCTTTGCATGCTTAATTTTAAACAACGTGTATAAGAGAGTGTATAAGAGTACATATCTCTCAAAATTCAACATCCATAATTTAACACAGTGACCTAGGATCTCATATTTTATTAAGTTATGCACCAAAACACATTATATTTGATTAAAACCTTCGAAAATAAAAGAAAATCACTTTTTAAGAGAATTTTTACAAAATTTCACTAAAAACACATTAACAAATTGATGTTGAATTTGCTCAAGTACTTCATGAAAAATAACAAAATACATCAAATTTGATCAATGCACCCTTTCTTACAAACAACGGATAAGGTAAGATAAAATTTATCATTTTGATTCAGATGTGATCAGTATTTTTACCTGTGAATATTAAGAAAAACTAACAATATCTATTTAAGGGTTTAAAACGCAATATTATCGGCCGCAGCAGCGGCCTATCTATTTGTGTTGTGTTAGAAAGTGCACGTGGGAAAATGAGACGGTATTTTTTTTATTAGTTCAGTAAAAATAAATTTTTAATAATAACACGTATAAAATCAAGAGTAAAATATTTAAAAAAAATTGCTATAAACTAAGTTTAATTGTTGGTATTATGTTCCAATTTCATTTTCATTTCTCATAATTTATGATTATATAAAAATAGTTTAGTACAATAGGTATTCCCAAATCTGGGAGTGTACAAGATACAAACGCAAGTCGTTATGATTTTCCGAATAATAATTAGGTGGTAAAAGTGCATGATAAATAAAAAATTGAAAAGTTGTTCAACTGGTAAAAATTGTTTTGAATATACTACAGCTGAGAATGACACAAGGATAATTTTTGCAGCTAAGCCTACTCTGCAGAAATCATCGGCATCATCATGTGACAAAGATCTAGGTTATCAGCACGAGGTTCATCTGAATATAAATATAAATAGGCCTCCATCTACATTTTCTGAATTACAATTTATCATTGAGTCAAATGCTGACTGACGTTTTTCATACTAATTGTTAGGCCATTATTAACACACTGAATTGTCGACGGATTTTTCTGTTATTTCCCGATCATGACAAGGAGCACACGGTGGGTGTGACCGGTCGGCAGGGGATGCTCACTCCTCCATGGCACCTGATCCCACCTCTGATGTTTGGTGGTCCTGTTTGCTCTGCTCCTATTTTGTATTGTTTAATGGACTTTTGAGCTTGAATACTGTTCGTTATCTCCATATATTTCATGAATCAATTTGATGAACAAATGCACTAAAATTTCTAGTTATTTATTTATTTATTTATTGTTTATCTTTATTCTTTTTATTTGTATTTTATTTATTGATTGATTATTTTATCTTATTTATTTATTTATTTTTTGTTTTGAAGACAGTTTGAAATATTTCATATTTTGAATGTCTTGTGCTTTCCTTATGCTCAATTGTGAAAGTACTTTTTGAAATGCTAAATTTTGTTTGAGGCCGATTTGATGCTTTGCATCAATTTTACTTGTTAATAATTTGCAATGATGGAATGTTTTACCATTATATACTAGAATATGCATCTAACTACAATTCGATAAATTTAACTTTGGTGTTAAATTACATTTTAATCTTCCTTCTTCGTGACTAACTATGAGGTCAAATTATTATATATACTACTACATCAACTGCTCATACTCTGCTGGAAGAAAAAATCAAAACAAAGGTAGGATGAAACTAGGCATGTTTTCCAGAAAAAAATAAAATAAACATATGTATGTGTATCAGTTTAAAAACATAAATAAGAATTGATTGCGAAATATACCATAGTATAACTTTACTTATCATTATAAAATCCAATATTAATGAACAGTACTAAGATACAGCAAGAAAAAAAGAAGTACAGTCAAACTTGTTTACGATAGAAATTAAAGGCCATTGAGATATTTTTAAAAATAACGGGATTTCAATATATCCGTGTGCCATGAGTTACAAGTAAGCCCTTTACACAATAATTATGCTTTATTTTTTTTATTAGATGACTGAGTTCTATCTAATCATAGTGCTGCTTCTTCAAACGACAAAGGGCGAAACACAGACAGGAAGTTGCAAAGACATGTTACAGGGTTACCTTACAGGACAATTGTCGTCTGCTCTAGGAGCATATCAGGTAGACGCTTTAAGACGGGAATTCAAAAGCTTCACTGACGTCATTGAGAAATCTATGAAAAAGTTCAAGGAAGAAGTTAACGCTAGGATACAGAATGAAGGTATTATACGACATATATACTATGTGTATTGTTTAATTATGTATAATTTGTCATGATAGAAAACTAAAAGTCTTCTTTTCCAAGGTAACAGAAACGTTGTGTATACGAGATGGAGCAAGAAGACTTGTGCCTCCCTTGCAAACTTTGTCTATTCCGGTGACAACATTCTATCTTTTAAAAACTTATGATACTTTTTTCATTATGATACGTGCTGAACTCTATGTGTTTAGGGTCATAATATGTTTATTAATGGAAGGGCTAACTTTACAAACGTACGCTCTACATATGTATTCAAGACATATTAATAACATTACATTATAAAATAAATGAAAAATATTGTTTATAATTCATCATCCTTATTAACGGTTACGAACATTTCGGAGGATCACATTATACGGACAAAGGGGCGGCTGTAAATCCTCTTTGCTTGCCGAGGGATCCAGAGTGGGGTAATTACAGGGATGGAAATGATGGATTTAAGGCTTATGTTTACGGAGCGGAGTACGAACCAAATACTTTCACGAGTCACTTTACTTCTCTTCATAACCATGACGTACCCTGTGCTGTATGCCTTGTCCAAAATAAATCCGTTGTAAAAATTATTTCCAGGTGAGAAAATAAATATGATTCGCATTTTTAAATCGCTTCTCATTGTGTATGTTAATATTGTTATAAATGTATATAAATAATTCCTGTCTGTCATATTATTAAGATTACAGCCGAAAGAGAAAGAGAGAGAGAGAGAGAGAGAGAAAGAGATAGATTATTTACACGACTTTTGAGCTAATGGAGTTTTTTTTTTTTTTTTTTTTTTTTTTTTTTTTTTTTTTTTTTTTTTTTTTTTTTTGCACATAATATCTCCTCTCCCACATCTCACATTTTTCAAGACTCTCTAAACTTTAATATTACCGGTATATCTTTTCCTTACTTTTAATTCATTGTAATACCCGTGAAGACATTCCTCATTGAGAGATATTTTCCTAGTAAGCAGAAAATGCATGTACTAGTATGTAAAAGTGAATATAACGAACAGTGATCAATCTCATAAATCCAGTAAACATACAAAACGAATCATGAAAAGAGCAAACATACGGATCCCTGGAAACACCAGACGTGGAGGGAGTGCCTAGGAGGACCTAGAACCGCCGTAATGTACCCCTCTGTATTCATTAGGAAAATAATGTAATCTCTGGTCAAAATTAATGAACACAATGGCCTTACAATTGCTATGAAATATGTCAATCAAATTACAATGCAAGGATAAGTTTTATTTGCAAACACGTTTATTATAACGACCTTATAATTTTCGAAATGCCGACTTTAAACGAGGTTGTTGAAATCCCTTTAATATCAACTTTATTGTTCGTAGCTTGTTTCAGTTTAAAGATTGATCGCGCTCTGAATATACTCTTGTATAGCAAATCAGTTGGAAAACATGAACACCATATGCAGGTGAAATTCGAAAACACTGCATAAATATCGAAAATTAGGAACTTCCAAACAATATCAACTGGTATAATCTTAAAAGTATGGTCGCCCGCGTGGCGCAGTGGTTAGAGCGTCTGCTCTAGAGTCGCGGAGTAAGGAGTTGATCCTTACGTCGCGGGTTTGAATCCCACTGCGGGACGTGGAGACCGGTCCTTCGGATGAGACCGTATAAACCGAGGTTCCGTGTCGCAGTAGGTGCTGGCACGAAAAAGATCCCTCACTGCTCAATGACCCTAAGTGCCGAGTATAGGTCAAATTTGCCTTGTAGAAAGCTAGCTGTACATATTTGCCTCCAAACCATCTAGTGTTGGCAAATCATACTAATATTTCAATTTTTATGTTTCATTATAGCGAGAAAAACCTGCTACAAAGGCTGGAATCTCAAGTACGAAGGCTTTTTAATGGCTGGATATCGTAATCATGCAGCTGGTTCAACATACAAGTGTGTAGACAAGAATCCTGACACCTTGCATGGTGGTAAGGCAGATAAAGATGGCTACCTATTTTATTTTGTAGAAGGTCGCTGTGGTTCTTTGAAATGTCCACCATATGTTGAGGGAAGAGAGCTAGTGTGCGCTGTTGGTACCAAGAAATAAAGAATCTCTATATATAATTTTCTGTCAAGTAAGCATAATTTTCTGTTCAATCAAGATTATTTGACAAGTAGATAAAAATATCTGACTAGATGACATAATTATGTGAAGTCTTCTTAAGATTTAAAGTGGACTTTTTACTGTTAGATCTCATCAGAGACATTATATAATAGTGATTCACAACTGCTTCGAAAGCTCGCGAGACTTTACCCCATTGTGTTACTTTTATTAATTAAATCATATAACTCTTTACAATTATCACTCAGTCTGATAACTAAGTAAAGCATTTAATTTCTTATCAACAAACTAATAAGAATGTTATATTTTCGTAAATTTATTTAAGTAATACAATAACAAAGGATAAACTGAAATAGCAACAGGTGATTCGTGGTCAGCCATTTCTCTAAGATTTTGGCAACTTTTGACCTTAATATGCAAAATTGATTTAACTTGTCGCGAAACACAGTGGAAGGGCGTTCGCTTCGTGATCGGGAGGTTCCGGATTCGATTTTCGTTCCAGGCGCAACGTCGAAATAGATAATGACTGTTCCTTCGCCAAGTTCCCGGCATGAGAAATGAAAGTCACGGTTTTTTCAGATATGACCTTCTTAAAAACGTAGGTCTAGAGCCACATTTGGCGTTGGCACGTAAAGAACCCCAACTGCTCAATGGCCGTACATGCTGAGTATAGGCCTAGGTCTAAGCTTGAAGCTTTCACAGGCATTCGGTGACTCTCTGTATGAGTGAAGAATTTTCGAAAGGGAGTTAAAAACCATATAATCCATAATTTTAAGACTTTACAAAACATACATTTGTATATAATAAAATTAATAGTAATTTAACTTTAGATCAAAATAAACAGCCAATAAAGAGTAATTTCAAGAATAAATCCGGGACAGTCACTAACTTTTGCATAGGCATAATAATGCCGGAGTTACGAATCTTTCTCATTTTTGTCTTATCTGTCTCTGATTTCATGTCGTTCGATAATTATGCCGACCTCTAAGATATTAATGTCGACCAACTCGTCAGATAAAAATGATGGCTTGGTTGAAAGTGATGTCAACTTCTCAGAAAAATGTCTTGTTAACTAGATGATACATGGATATGCTTCCATCCTGAATTTATAAAAACGTAAATAAGTGACAAATCAAAAAAAAAAAAAAAAAAAAAAAAAAAAAAAAAAAAAAAAATCTAACAAGACGACATAATTATTTGACAACTATGCTTCCATAGATAATGTTACATGACAGCGCTACAAAAATTACTATCGTAAACTAAACAGTAACATAATCAAATAAAGGCTATTAATAAAATATAAGTTTTTTAAGTATTCAATTATACACTAGTATAACAGTTCAAGCATGTACCTGAAAAGATAACAACAATGAAAAGATGAGGAAAAAAAAAAAACACGCAAACCATAGTAAGACCTATAAATCTTGAATCAGAACTAAATATTCAAACTGTTTATATTATTTGAAGTAAGCATAGAAATAAGAATTATAATTTGCAATTGTGTACATATTAAATTTTTGACACAAACAGATCGTCAATATGGATTTTAAATGAATAACCTCTTGGCTTTACCCCTGAAATAAGAAGATAACGAACAGTATTCAATCTCGAAAGTCCAATGTAACGATACAGATTTGGAACAGAGCAAACATGGACCTCAAAATTTAGAGGTACGATCAGGTACCATAGAGGAGTGAGCATCCCCATGACTGAGTCGAGCAGAAGCGAGAGCTTAGATACTTTAAATCTACTTATGAGGTAAACATTACCTACTAGCTGTTAAACATCTGCTCAACACTGTATAACATCTGACCATCACTCTTTATTAACAGCTGATAATCATGATTAGCAAGACACTGTCATGCGCCATAAATTTGTTATACATGTATGTACATGTCCATCAAAATATATATCAATCTTATCTATTCTATATATTAAGCTGTTAAATTAGACCTAAGTCTTCACTTTTCATCTTCTTGTGAGGAAGTTTTTTCTCTTATTATATGTGTATACGTTATCTAATGTATATTTGTTTACTTTTTTGTGTTCTCTCATTCCGGAATCCGTATTTCAGTACTACTACCGGCTTTGCAGTGATACTACTCTTGTTTTCTTCTGATGAAAAATTGCATTGTCTGAATATCCTGAGTTATCTGAACAACATTTTTTCTCATTTATGACAGTTATGATCAAGAACCTGTACTTATAATAAGAGAAAAACACACAGATCTATAATATTATTATTTAGAGGACCAGGCAATGTTTATCACCAGGATTAGACCTGGGCAAATTAGTAACAAAACATACATAAATATGACCTTAATAAGCATCAGTATTCAAAAGGGACGGGGTATATGACTACCACTTGTGGATGCAAACTCCAATCAGTTAAAGAAATGTTGGTATTTTTCTTTTCAGAACTAACAATCTGGAAATTCTAAATGTGATTTTGGATTACAAGAAACGTGAAAATGTATGAAAGTCGGGTTAAATGAAGAATATGAGCCAATATGGCATTTCATTTGAAAGTTGCAGAAAAATAAGGCATACCATTGAGTGTTTTCAACCTTAAAATCTTATATAATCCATTACATTCCATATACAATTCATTTTACCTTTTTAAATTAATGAACAATTCTTAATTCTATTGCAACTGCTTCAGAAAAATAGAGTTTCTGATATTGAAAGAAGACTTAAATTTTCATAGAAAGCATCCACCATCATGATAAGGTCAGTCAATTAATACTGGTGTGTTTTCTTAATTCATCACCATAACTTATTTTTATTTTTCAATCTGACAATTTTGAAAGATTTAAGGGGATGAAGGACACATGGTCACATGACTCTGTTTGACTACGTCCTAGTCTTCTTTTATATAAGTGCAAAACGTGTAAACCATCAGATTTTGTATAATTTTTTGACAATTTGTTTTACTTTTATTAACATCTTATATAAAAAAGTAAAAAGTTTAAACATTCTTGTAAACATTAACAAATTATGAAATAGATTGATCCACCCCTCTGTTTCCCTAAATTGAGCGTCCAGCTAGTCAGTGACGTCATACATGATCTGTTAGTACAGCAAGATCATACTCGGTGAATACAGGGGAGGTATTATTATGTGAAAACAGGTCAGAATCAGTATATGATGAAATTATTTGAGAAACGGGGAACACAAAAGTTATTTTTGCATGGCTGATGACAGGAATCTTATGTAGGTATATCCTATTTCGCTTACGTGTGACGTCATAGTTGGTTTTTCCCGTACTCGACAAATGTAAACACGTTTTTGTCATGCTTAAGTCTTCTTTAACGATGTCCTGTGCAATATTGAGGTCAGCTTCACCATTCGAAATTTTTACAGTTAAACAATAATACGAAGGATTTGCATTTCAACGTAAATTTTAAAATATTGAATGATAGAATTTTTTGCAAATTAAGTTTTTTGTTGTTTAAGTTGTCTGAAAAAGTACTTAATTTTCCCTATCCAGATGCAGTGTGACAGAAGAAACTTGCTTTTAGGAATTTTAAACCCTATTCATACTTTGAAATATTTAAAAAGATACAGGTCCACTTAGATAAATCCCATTATGGACAGAGTAATGGTCCCGGAAACATGGAGATCTAAAATTCCACATAGATACTGTAGGGTATAGTATTTACCAATCAATATCTCTAAAATAAGGTAAGAAACCTAATGATTTAACTGCTTTACGGTATGTGAGACATACTTAATTAGAAATATACAAAATAAGAAAAAAAAAATGAATGACAAGTATTTTTTCAGCTCAAGGTCCTTCTTCCCCTTAAGTCTAGTTAAGTTATGATGAGTGTCAGACTTGAGAAGAGGTCTAAATTGTTGATAAAAGGAGGAAACTGTGATCCAAAGGTTTATTTCGGGTTGTAAATTTTTACTGACTTTTGTCCCTTTAAAAGTTTATCTCGATTATTGAAAAAATATGACATGAATCTTCAGGGACTTCTATAATTAAATCTTCATATAAAGTACTGGATTAATTAGTTCACAAGCATTTCGTAACTGTGATTCTACCTTTAGGACAGAGCCAAAATGGTCGTAAAGTAAAATGTACTTAATCTTTTTCTATTCCTTAATATTTAGAAGTACAATCATGCACTGAAAGCACGGTAAGAACATGAAAAGTGTTTTTTTTTTTTTTAAATATATATGGTATAAGGCTTCTCCCTTCGGATACTTTTTTTAAATATACTTCATGTCAGAATATTATTAATATTCTAAATATATGCATTGTGAATAAAAAATGTATGTGTAGAGACGGCATTAACTAAGACTTAGAACCAAAGACTGGTGTGAAATTCATGGCCCTTAGATATGACATGAGTTCTGTCTCTTAAGATTTAAGCAAAATAACCATATTCATGAAAAATAGGACATAAGCTGCTTATTAGCTCACCTGAACTAAAAGCCCATGTGAGCTTTCCTGATCGAGAAAATGTCCGGCGTTTAATTTGTTTGTGATCTTTTCAAATTTCGACCCCCCAGAACCATTGGGCCAATGTCAGCCAAACTTGCCAAAAAGCTTGTTCAGCTTTAAAGAATTAGTAAAAACTGAACAGCATCTTTCGAAAATCTTCTTTGGAACCACTTTGACAGAAAACATGAAACTTATTTGAAACCTTCATTACCGGTACATAGTGTACAATAAAGTTTCCTCAAAACATGACCCCTAGTTGTTACAATAGACGATCTAATTTTTATATATTTTTATACATTACCATGTAAAACTGATCATATATTGTTTCCCCGCCTTACCCCCGGGGGTCCCGATTCGAGGAAATTTGAATGTACTTCATCCGAGAGTGATTACGCATAAATATGGCTAACCATGGTTGCGCTATTCTTGAGGAGATTTTTAAAGGTTCTTCCCTTTTTATTCCTATGTAAAACTTTAATGGCCCATTATGGCACAACACTACTCCCTGGGGTCAAGTTTTGATCAAATATGAACTTGCACTTCTTGAAGAAGCTTCCATATAAAAATAAGTTCATGTAATCGTGGCTTTGCTGTTCTTAAGAAGAAAAAACTCTAAAGATTTTCCCTATATACTCCTTATATTTATTTGCTCATTTGCATATTGCTAAAAAGGTCTTACCTATTTCCTCAATTTTTTAATGTAGGTCGCAGGTTTACTGCATAAAAAATCCTACGATAAAACATACCCTCAAAATTTGATATAATGTTCCTGAGTATTTTTAGCACATTATCTGTAATTTTTATGAAATTACCTAAGTAATTAATGCAATATTACTGTAAAAGCAATATAGTTATTGGTATGTTTTTTACGCTTTCCTACTGAACAATGGGGTTTTTTTTATATTCAACGTCATGGTGAACGTGATATGTGTTATATAGATTTCGTTAGATTTGGAATATACAAGATGTAAAAAGATAACAAAGACGTAAATTGTAATGTTATTCATTATTTTACAAAATGCAGACACATGTTAGGATGACCAGCAATTTATCTACATTAGTTCAGTGAAATTTATATACTGGCCACGATGTCAGAATGAATGATATATTGACATAAACAGTCTTTGAGCATTAGCCTGAATTACGTCAAAGAATGGAGGCATGCAAGGCGAGAACAATCCCCCGCTTTGAGAAAAGACATTCTCAATTCTCAAAGTTCAGGAAAAGTTTTATTTTTCAGAAAATGTATTGCCAATATAATCTTTTACACGTTTATGTCCTTTATTTTGTTTTATTGAATAACTTATTGATGAATAATGTATTAATGTTTTAATTATGTGAAAAGAGAAAAAAAGCTTCACTCATGATTTGAAGTCTATCCAGATCTCACAGTCTAATAGGTGTAAGGGCAAAAAAATCAGCTTAAGTTTACAATAAATAAAAAAATAATGATACAATATAATTATAGCGTATTTTCTTTATTCATTAAGTATTGTTTTTAAGGTATGATGGGGAAATAGAGTTTGTAAACATATTCATAAATTTTTTTTTAAACAAATAACAATATATTTTCTCAGTCATGAACTACCCTTACATGTATTATGATTGACAATAAAATATTGTAACATTTGGAACAAATAACGTTTCCATGAAACAAATTAACATAGTTGCGATGTAAGTAGGATTCAAAGTCGTCCGACCTAATAAATAAACCCTTTGTTCAAATATCAAATCAATTGATAGTATAACAATACAAAGTACTTGAGAAATTTATGTCAAATAATTTCATTTGACTAAAATCAATTTTCTTGTGAATTTTTTGCATATTTCAAACGCATTTTGCTCTTAAATTAAATTAATCAGTAAAGTTATTTTTTATTTAGATATATGATTTAATTCAGAACCCGATTTTTTTTTCTAAATCAATGAAAATTTATTATGAAATGTTGTAAGTTTTAGAGATGTAAGAAAACTGTTTCAACACATCATAAATAAAATTGTTTGACCTTACAAGGAGTAACTCATAATTTGAATAATATATGTATAATGTTAACTATGTGCAATGGAATATTTTAGTATTTCAGTACTTTCTAAAAGTCATCCCATCGCCTTAGTTCAGATTCTAGTAGCGCAATTACTTTGTTTAGCTTTATTACATTTTCAGTAAGAAAATTATCAGATACTTTTTTTTTACTGCTACTGAAAATGTCTCCAGCTGCCTTGACAATACTGATTCCAGCAATGACGCCACCTGCAACAGTAAAAAGTTTTGTGGATGCCGCTACCAAAGTAGCTGCTAAATTGTTAACATCTGCAGAATTCATTGTAGATATGTTAATGATCTCTCTCACAAACTTGGCACCCTTGAAGCCTTTACTTATTATGTAAGATAATCTTTTAAATTTTACTATTATTTTGTCTCTATATTTTAAACGATTTCTCCAAAACTGAAGTGTCACATAGCTTGGTTATTAAATATGCTTTTTCTCTACCACAGAGTCTGACACATCTGTTTCATATTTGGATGTTTTATTAGAAAAAAGATGTTAATGGTAATCTAACAAAGCTTATGATAAACGTGATGACTTTAACTTTTCAATCGTCAACTTCCCTTTACTTATGCAGCAATATACCCTTATCACCTGCATACGGGGTTTATATCTCTCAGTTGATTTGATACGCAAGAGCATGCTCTACCTATGATCAATTTCTAAAACGAGGCAAACTGTTGACAAACAAGTTGATGAAACAAGGACATCAACAGTTTCGTTTAAAGTCATCATTTCGCAAGTTATACCGTCGATAAAATGACCTTGTCAGCATATGCAAACTATCATTGAATCAAATGCTGACTGACGTTTTTCATACTAATTGTTAGGCCATTATTTATACACTGAACTGTCGACGGGTTTTCCCGTTTTTTCCCTGATCATGACAAGGAGTACACGTCGGGTGTGACCGGTCGGCAGGGGATGCTCACTCCTCCAATGCACCTGATCCCACCTCTGATGTCTTAGAGGTCCGTGTTTGCTCTGCATCTATTTTGTAATGTTTAATTGACTTTTAAGCTCGAATACTGTTCGTTATTTTCACATATTTCATTAACAATTTATTTGATTGAACGAGAATACCAGAAAGAATATTATATATAGTAACAAAATAAAAATGAATGTCTGGTTTAAATGAGGAAAGTATGCTTAAAGTCGGATCATTGCCTTTTACGCCTCTCTTATTCAATTAAGAACATTAAAAAGTCATTAAAACAGTTTTGTACAATTCTATGCTTTTTATTAGCCCTTAGTTTGTCGTAAATTGAATGTTTTCTTTTCAATAGAAATGTGCGACCTCAAAACTGCAGGCCAGTTTTTTTAAAATTTTTTTTTTTTACTCTGATAAGAATTTTCAGTGAGAACAATAACTCCAATTTGAAAATGTGAGTGTTTCAAAGGGATGAAGCCCGATATTTTTCCTTAAACTCGTCTTTTATTCACCCAGTTCACGTGAAAATCTAGACTAATCAAATTCTACGTGTCTATAGACTGAATTATTAAAGTTTTTTTAATACACGCATTCTGCATTACTGATTTTCGGTACATATACATTATTCTATAGCCCAATTTAAGGGTCACTGATACATCATTCAATAGAGGTTTGTCAAATGGCATTTGTTTACCAGCGATATAATTATAAGTAGTAATTTTTATTTGTAAGTGTATACTAGTATTTATTCATTACTTCTTGGAACAGACAGCGCAAACAAGTTCTCTCCCATCAACATATGGTGGACATTTCAATGAACCACAGCAACCCTCTACAAAATAAAATAGATAGCCGTGTTTTGCAGCTTGACCACCGTGCAAGGTATCTGGATTCTCATCTACACACTTGTATGTTGTACCAGCTGCATGACCATAACATCCAGCCATTAGGTAACCCTGGTACTCGAGATTCCAGCCTTTGTAACAGGTTTTTCTTGCTTTAAAGAAGTGTTACAATTACAATACATATATGATTTTCCCAAAAATAAGATAAGTGGTAGCCAAATAGATAGATACATGTATTTAAAGAAACTTAACATGTACAACTTTCTCAAAGGAAAACAAAAACTGAATGAAAAAAAAAAATAAATAATTTATACAAATGTTTGTTTGTATATTTTGTTTAACGTCCCTCTCTAGAATTTTTCACTCATATGAAGACGCCACCACTTGCCGATGGAGAGCTGCAAATTTTATCCTATACTCGGCACTTACAGCCATTGAGCAGTGAGGGATCTTTTTCGTGCCAGCACCTACTGCGACACGAGACCTCGGTTTATACGGTCTCATCCGAAGGACCGGTCTCCACGTCCCACAGTAGGATTAATATTCGAACACGCTGATCAACTCCTTACGCCGCGACTCTAGAGCAGACGCTCTAACCACTGCGCCACGCGGGCGACTTTATACAAAAAATAAAACTAAAGATAGACCCTATTTGAAATTTGAATTTGAATAAAGACACAGATATAATAAAATGTAATCAAAATTGATTTTTAGCATAATTAACATGACAAGTATATGCTGCATCACCCACATGAGTCTTGCCCCTAGCTGTTCTTCAGTTTACATCGTTACGAAATATTCAAGACCAACGGAATTTTTTAAATCCGTATCATGGCCCGACCTTAAGTATCATTTTCACTTCACGTTAATACGCCCTTTTAAACACTAAAACAACAGATCAGTAAAAATATATTCTTTTTTTCTCACCTGGGAACATTTTTACAATGGATCTATTTTGAGCAAGGCACACAGCACAGGGTACATCATGGTACTGAAGTGAAGTAAAGCGACCCTTTAATGTGTTTGTTAAAATGTATTCTGCTCCGTAAACACAAGCCTTGGTTCCATCATTTCCATCCCTGTAGATCCCCCATTCTGGATCCCTCGGTAAACAAAGAGGTTCTACGGCTGCTCCTGTATGCGTATAATATGATCCTCCGACGAATCCTATTAATTGCATTTATTTGTAAGTAAATTATCAATGATATTTTCCAGTTATTTTAGAATGCTATACATTTTTAACATTCGTGTGCGGTGAATATAGAAATTAACCTCTTTATTCATAAATTGTAAATCGGAACATCTAAAACTCATGTCAAAAAATTAAATGAAAAAAATGATAAATAAACTTTTGAAATATATGATTTTTTTTTCACCGGAATAAACTAATTTTGCGTTTGAGGGACATATCTTCTTCCCCCATCTTGTATATTCAATGCTTTTGTTGCTTATGCCTACAAAAAAAGATCAATATTAAGGACAGTATTATATTGTATTATATTATATTGGTATTCTGGTTGGAAATGATTCAGTTATCAATTTCCTAAAGTTATAAGAAATCATAGTTTGTCTATGCTGTGTAAAATTCACCGTGTTTTTGGCCGTCCCCCTTACGAGTCAATTCAATATTTTACTTACTTTATGTTCTTGAAAAATCTTGAGAAAAATAAGCTTTTTGTGGCTAAATCTATTCAATTAAGTAATATAAACATAGTCTAAGATTTTATCACTTGAGTTTTGAAAAAAGTAAGTTTGTAGCAAGTGGCCTTAAAACAAAACATATACATGTAGCTTACATGTATATGTGGCTTTATTAATACCTTTATTCTGGATCTGATGTTCACTTTCTCCTTGAACTCCTTCAAAGATTTCTCAATGAGATCAGTGAAGCTTTTGAATTCCCGCCTCAGAGCTTCTACTTGGTATACTCCAAGAGCAGACGATAGTTGTCCTGTCAGGTAGCCCTGTAACATGTCTTTGCAACTTCCTGTCTGGGTCTCTCCTTGTGCCGTATGCAGAAGAACTAGGGCTAGATGAAACCCCGTCATCTGAAGAGAAATTTACGATTATTTTATTGTCTCAATGAAATCTTTCCTAATTATATCTTAGAACTGTTCATCAACAATGACATTTCCAATGAAAAATGAAGAAAAATAGTTAGTTTCTTTAAAAAAAATTTTCTTGTTTTTCTACATCCTACCAATGTAATGAATGTTTCCTGGATAAAAGAAAAATGTGATTGTCAATTTATGTGTTTATACTCTTGCACCAAATATATATACTGTCTAGTAATAATTTTGGAATTGAAAATTAACATCTGATATCAACCTACACATTCTGGCCTGGAAGCGAGACACGAAAAAGATACATTTAAATGTAATTTAGCACCGAAGTGAAGTCCAGTGAACAGAAACACATAGACGTAATAATGGTAAATGATGGCGATCATTCTAGTTTTCCTAACAAATCCATGACACATATGAAATAAGCTATTGCAATTTAATTTTTTTTATTGCACATTTAAAGATTGTCTGTTCAACCATGGAGACTGCTAGCATTCAAAGGTCAAATTACAGTTAGATTCGGGTTGAAAATGTGGTAAATTATTTGCACATTTATGAAATTATGAGAACATAGAACTGAAGAAGAATACTCTAGTATGCAAAAAGGCATTATCTGCTTTCATAACCAAATTCTATTTGGATGTGGCAACTGAGGACGTTTGTTGTTCCTCAAATAGAGCAGAATTTTCATTAAAATGGGGACATTAAAGTAAATAAATGTATTTAGGGCATAAAGAAGAAAAAGGCAACTCCTAATTCCAATAATTTTTGGGAGAAATGTGATGTATTTTGCATTGATTATTATTTAATAAGAAATTATCAAGAGTATAATGGTGTTCCACTTGATTTTTTAGAGTTCCATTAACAGACAAATCACAAGTATAACACGAATTGTTACAATGCGAAATGTAATAGCAATGCACAATGTAATAAACAGGGATTATCACATTTTGTGTTTTTATATTTTGCGTCGAGATTAATGCAGAATGCAAGAACGCAAAAATGTAATAACAGATATTGAGCACTATTATATTTTGCGTTATCTCATTTTGCGTCAAGAATAACGCAAAATGTAATAGCGCAAAATGTTATAACACAATTTTTGGATTATTACATTTTTGCGTTATATTTTATGTTGAGATTAAGCAAATTGCAACAACGCAAAAAGTAATAACACACTTTTTGGTCAGTTAGGTTGAGAATAATTTTCAATTGAGTTGTGCATCAAGAAATTAACGGAAAGAAAATAAAACACAAGGAAAGAATAAATATATACTTATTCTTACATTAGAAGTGATTTTATCATATATTGATTTCGTTAGTCGTTTAAAAGCAGTTGGTATTCACACCTATGAAGGTGTGTTAAAACCTTAACGTGTATACCCTGCCCCCTCCCTGCGTGCAAGTTTATTAGTAAATAAATGCATATATTGAACATTATAAAAAATCATAAAAATTAAAAGAAGAATTAACAAAGCCTTTTTCTGAGCTCCAGCAATAAGCATTGAAATTTTGTCTATTCTTCATACTATTATTACAAATCACGTGCATTGCAGACCAGCAAAAATATTATTTCTCTCTTTATCTATCTCTCTCTAACAGTGTCTTCCCCCATTTCCCTCTCTCTCCATTCATTAATAAAATGGATGGTTCTGTAAGCGCATAAAAATACAATAATCAAGGTACAAAGTAAGCCCCCCCCCCCCTCCCCCCGCCATCCACTTGCCAGACACACACACACATACACTTCTAATTTGGTAATCGATGTATATACATGTATGTCCTGCATACGTATCAAGGACTTTTAATGGACCGATGGTCAGTATTTGGTTATTAAGAAATGTCAGTGATTGGAAAGATAAGACAGAGTTTAGTTATGGGCAATCGGACAAAAAACATAATCAATTATCGGTAATAATCGGCTCGAATAATCAATCAATAATACACAATTATCGACCTTTTCTCTTAAATTAAATACAGTATAATGCTGTAATGTAATAATGTAATAATCCCAAAAAGTCTTTTTTACATTTTCCGTTATACCATTCTCCTTTGATCTCGACACATATTGTAATAATGCAAAATGTTATAATCCCAATTTATTACATTTTGCGTTGTTATTACATTTTGCAGTGTAACAATGAATCCTTTTTGTGTCAAGCTTATTTATATTACTACTTAGGGGTATGTAAAGGAAGCGTATAATTCATTTCTCGAGAAATTTAGATATTTTTTTTAGAAACGCAACTTGTATAAATTTTCAAAGACATTGATAAAACTAACAATTATCTATCATTATAATTAGACGAAAGAATGTCGAATGACAAGAAGTGCACGTACCTATCACACAGTTATTACGTGACTACCATAACAAGAGGCCCAGGGGCCATATCGCTCACCTTAGCACTGTGGCTAGGGAAAAAAATCAGTTAAGTATTGTAAATCGTAAATACATAGGTGGTTCCGACCGTAATTATCTCCCCTTGAAGGAAGGGATGGCCCTTCATTTGAACAAACTTGAATCCCCTTCACCAAAGGAAACTCTGTGCCAAGTTTGGTTGATATTTGCCCAGTAGTTCTGGAGAAGAAGATGAAAATGTGAAATGTGTACGACAACGCCAACGACGCAACAACGCCAACGACAACGACGATGACAGACAATGGAAAAAGAACTGCGAACGATAGTATTGTTCTCCCGCCTACCTCCAAGTCAATTTTCAAAAGTTAACACATTTGAATGATTTTTCATATTTATATAGATATTCATATGAATTTTCATAAAATATTACTTCTTTGGGAAAAGAGAGAGAGAGATAACTCTATAATTTTGGTAAAACTTGTGTTTTCACTATAGAAATCAACGGAAAACGGACAATCTTTTTAAAACACACCCCCTCCCCCGTGAAACAAAAATTCCTTTTTGCAGGTAATATGGACTGTCATTTCACAAATTTACCAAAGCTTTTTGTGTTTCGGGGGGGGGGGGGGGCATATGCTTACAGACAGAAAACTATACAAAAATCCTTATTTTTTCACAAATTTCAAAGGTATTTACAACTAAAACATTGTATTTTATTAATAATATATGTTTAATTTTACATGCGTAAAAGATAAGAAACGATTTAAGGAACATTTTTTTTTCATATCTAAGAATATTTTAAAATGTTGTGATGCTTTAAAACCCGATTTCAATGGAAAATATCGTATGCCCCCCCACCCCCCTTATTTAAAGAGCTAGAATTAGGGGTAATTAACTATTTAACACTGGTATTAAAATTATCAGTCAATTACCATTGAACTTTTCTTTGTATTCCATAAAGATTTTACGGCCAAATTGCCATTAGTATTGAATTAAATGGGTATAAAATGTAGGCGGGAATCGAGAGTTAGTGTACATAGTTCTTTCGATCAGAAAAGCTCACTTGAGCCTTCGGCTCAGGTGATCTAAAAAGCGAAATAATCCTTAACTAAAAAGTTAACAGAACAACAGTAACCCGGAGTTTAATTATTTCTGCAAGTAAAAAATATCACTGAAAAACCTCGCAAATGCATGAAAAGTGCTGCTAGAATCCTACTGTCCTGCCAAGGAAATAATTATTCTACATATTCGCACGAAACCTTACCCGATGTTTTGCATTTTATACATATAATCCGAGATTTTTTTTAAAACCTCTTTTACATCCTCGATTCTAGCAGCACTTCCCAAATATGATAGAATGAACACTTTCGATAAGATTTTAAAGTATCCTGCGTATTGTTGTTCTATTGCATTAAAGGTCTCACAGTTACTGCTAAAGGGCAGCACACAATATTAATAATCGTTTTGTCATAAATAAGTTCTATTTGCCCTTTCTTCAAGGTCTATAATCAAGTTGGATAAAAAAATTCTTTTGATCTTGTACATCTTGTACATTCGAATTAGTGACTTTGTGAAATTGCAATTTTCTTTAATTTTGCGGAAAGCATGTGTATTTGAGTATGCATTGTTAACTAAAACTGAGTAGTTTTTATTTTTAGAAACTCACTGGGCCTAAAAAGGCTTTAATTATAAGTGAACCTTGCTCTTTTTCTGTTAAATTCATGTAAGTGTACATATTCGAGTTTCAATTCAAAGTATTGAAACACTGGCTCTGTATTTGAAAACGGGCTTTATGAAATTTCAATGTTCTTGTTTTGCAGAAAAAAACATACTATATACAACTGCATTTCATTTCTTTTATTCATTTATGTGGATTGTACCTGTAAAATGTATTCACACTAGACAATAACCCGTGCAGGCACAAGTCGGGGAAGATTTAAATCAATTTGCAAAATGACATCAATAAATTGAGTCGAATATTTTACATTGTAAGTGTCACGGTTGTAATTAAATTATTATTATTATTAAATATGAAAATTATGCTTTGCGAAATATTTAGTATCGTATTCCGATTGGCGCGCATAGCTAATCGAATACAACCGGTTTTGCAGGTATGTGAGAGCCATGTGCGAGTGTTTTGTTTTGCACAGGTGAATTTCTGTTTTTAGCATTCCTATACGTATGACTGACCAGTGACCTACCATGGACCAATGGATTTCACTATACTAATTTATATGCATGTTTTTACTAACTCGTGCACTATATAAAGTAAGAAACCCGCCAAATTCCCCACCCCAAGCTTTTGTGCCTTTACGGTAACAGTTAACGTATTGGTTATACCTTAGATCGATTCAATCGATGTGTATTATTTATTCCTGACTTTAATACTGGATGCCTGGTAAGATGTTCATTAATCTTGTAATTCATTTACTTGTTAAATATATGTAACGATCTTCTGGCAGTCGTATTAATATCTTAATTACCCTTTCTTTTCGTTAATGTTTAAATGTCTTTATGTTTCGTGTTTGTCTATGTATATTGTTTTGTATGAGTGTTGTGAGTGTTTTTTTCTATTTCCTAGGTTTTTTTTTCTGTATCCATAATTAAATTATAAGACTGAACCAGTTTTGTTTTCACTAAAGAAAAAACAAGACCGTGACCCTGTGACATAAGTATATGTATTCGAGAAAAATATGCTTTAAGGTAATTACTTCGGGTTTTTTGTGATTTCTTTTATTTGAAGGAAGAAATTGTATTGCAAACTAAAATTACACAGATATACACAAAATAAATGTATTAGTTCGGAATGCACCTGAAAAATATTACTTTCTTAACACGTTTTGCTGACACTTTCTTTTCAATTAACATTCATTTATTTTTGAGTTTTATTCCATAAAATTTATTTGATCAGTAAAATATCTTCCTAGTGAACAAGTGAAGGATAAACTTATTTCCTCATAATGAATTTCTTTCACTGAAAAATTTGATAAATTTCGCTATCAAAGGGTTTTCGGTTTATTAGGCTCCACCACTTAGAGTAAAAGCTCTTTCTAAAGAAGATCGTCCATGTGAAGAGCCCCCCCCCCCCCCCCCCAAATACATTTGGGTATGTTTTTATTTCTTAGTCGGATATTTTCAGATAGGTAATACATAAATCCTATTCATTGTGACCAGGAGAAATTGAAAAGAATCCCCACCCTTGATTTAATTCTCTCATTTACAGATGTGCATCTTACTATGTATATACATGTGTTGTGTAATGGGGCAGTGAAAAAATATTTACTGATATACTTCTAAATCTCTTAGCAATATCACAGCAACGCATACAGTTGTAAAGTTACTTTTCTGTAGCACTTTTTACATTGTCGCTGAAAGTGTGTATCTCAAAGGGAAGGTGAATGGTCCCAGATCAATTGGTAATTTTTCTTAGGGCCCTGCATTGATTTACATAATAGTGGGTTTTTCATCCTCCTCGCTCGGGACTGGGTTGGCTGTATGGGTGCGACTGAGGCCCAAATCTTTAAAAAAAAGCCAAAATTTGACTAAGTATACTCAGTAGATATCTATGTTCTACATCAGCCGAATCGTAAATATATTGGAAGTCACAAAAGGAATATCCAGCTGAAAATCCCCTTTTCTATTTTATTTACTTTTAGGAAATAAATTGTTAAGCAATTTATGGCTCCTGTTCCAACCCCTAATGTTTTTTCAGAGGTCCGTGTTTACTCTCCTCCAGATTTGTATTGTTTCAATGGACTTTTGAGTTTGATTACTGTTCGTTATCTCCATATTTTATTATGTGAAAAAAAAGTTCTACACAGCTTTGAATTCTAAAAGTCATGCGCAAAACGAATTTAGAAAGTATACATAGTGCTTTCTGCTTTGGAAAAAAATATCTCACAACAAAGAATATATTGACACACTGTCCTTTTATTCAATTTCAAATGAATTATACAAAATCTTGATATAGTATGAAAATGAAATAAGACTTTAGCCAACATACATAAATTTGTAAGCATATCTTTCTTATTCATTTGTATTTTCTCGCCTGGAAATACTTTCACAACAGATCTGTTTTGAACAAGGCAAACAGCACAGGGTACGTCCTTGTGAGTAAGTAAACTAAAGCAACTCAGAAAAGAACCCATTTAGTACTCTGCTCCATACACATAGGTCCCATTAGCATCATTTCCATCTACGTACATCCCCCAGTCTGGATTCCTCGGTAAACAAAGAGGATCTACAGTCTCTCCTTTTTGAGTACAATGCGATCCTCCGATCTAACCTATAAAAAGTTGCAACCTTACTATGGTTAACAAATATAAATGAAATATGTGGAAATAACGAACCGTATTCGAGCTCAAAAGTCCATTAATCATTACAAAATAGGAGCAGAGCAAACACAGACCTCTAAAACATCAGAGGTGGGATCAGGTGCCATGGAGGAGTGAGCATCCCCTGCCGACCGGTCACACCCGCCGTGTGCTCCTTGTCATGATCGGGAAATAACGGGAAAATCAGTGTATAAATAATGGCCTAACAATTAGTATGAAAAAAGTCAGTCAGCATTTGTGATCCTCCGGTGTAACCTATAAAAAGTAGTAACCTTACTATGGTTAACAAAATTATCAATATCTTTCAGAAAATGTTTTTATGGAATGCTTTATCTCTGCAATATATATGTACATTGTAAATAGAAACTAATCTCTAAATTCATACCCCCCCCCTTTCAAATACAATTCAAAATCACATTTCAAAAAATTAGATAAATCAAATATATTTTCAAGTATATATTTTTTTTACCAGAATAAACAAGTTTTGTGTTGGATGGACATATCTTCTTTCCCCATCTTGTGTATACAATGTTTCTGTTTCCTATACCTATTTAAACCAAGAATACCTTTTTTTATTTATATCAAATGATAAATATTAGAGCAATATTAGATATTGTCAATCAGAAACTCGAGCATCTTTTTAATATCAACTTCAGAGTACTTGTATGTACAATCAGAATGTTTTTTAACAAAATAATTTTGCAAAATTGCATTTCTCATGTATGACATAAAAAAAATGACAGCATCTCCTAAGTCAATCATTTGAGAAAAGATTGGGAATTTCACAATGATTAAGAAAATATCGGAGTATTATGGTGTTCCAAATGATTCTTCAGAGTTCAATTAGCAAACACATGTAAATCATGACTTTAAGTAACAAGAATGTTTATTACGTCAGACACAAAGCACTACTTTGCATATAAAAGAGAAATTTAAAAGATTTATATTTAAAAATTCAGTCATCGTCTTATATGATAATGTATAAAAAATTTAGGAAAAAAAATCATGAATTTTTTTTAAGGAAAATATTGACTGGGTTAAGACTTATTAATATATTTTTTTGGTATCAAAATCAGATTTATCTGAATAGGTGAAAGGAACGAAGAATGCCAAATTAACTTGCCAAAAGGCCCCGTGTCGCAGTAAGTGCTGGCACGAAAAAGATCCCTCATTGCTCAATGGCCGTAAGTGCCGAGTATAGGACAGAATTTGCAGCTCTCTACCGACAAGTGGTGGCGTCTCCATATGTATGAAAAATTCTCGAGAGAGACTTTAAACAACAAACAAAACATCATTTACTTTTGAGAAAACATCGTAAAAATCGTTTTTGTAAGTTTTCAAAGTTCTGAATGAAAGATTGTTTCTTGTTGTTGCATATATATATATATATATATATATATATATATATATATATATATATATATATATATATATATATATATATATATATATATATATTCAAATGAATAAAGAAAAGATAATACGTTTGCCATTAGAGCTTTATTTTGATACATTATTTTCATTCTGTTCAGACTTACAATCCCGTGCTAAAACAAGAGACCAAAAACTACTACTATTTATTTACTGTTTCATAAAATCCATGTAGATAAAAAAATTATAGGTAGTAATACAGTATAAATTTTGCACAACACAGAATGTTCATAGTGACATTCAGACCTGCGTAAGTAGTTGATATTTTTACAGGTTCCTTGGACATTGTTTCAATAACTGAATATTGTTATTTAAAGGTTAAATTTGTCAAATATGCCGGTAAAACCCACCTCTTTACATGAGATGGTTTCATAAATTAAATCATTTATTTAATAAAATTTAAGCCCAGTATATATACATACCAAACAACGAGATTTTACTTTTTTCTTTTTACGAATAATCAGTAATATTATCTTAGGCTATTAATTGATGCCGTAGTCATCAAAATCTTTTAAATTGTGATCATTTCTTTTTAAATCTCACAATTTTTTTTTTTTTACACTTGTTCAAGATTACATTACATGTTTTAATCCAAAAAATTAAAACATTTGTGTCTTATCGGACACACCATATACACATGTATCTCATTTTTTATGTCAATAATTTGTAATGTGCCTGTAAAATTTATTCAGGACTAGACAGTAACCTATGCAATTGAGTCAATTATTTTAAGTATTTAGGAAAAGAATACTCAAAGTTAATTACGTGGGATTTGTTGTGATATTTTAATTTGGAAGTGGAAGTTGTTATGCATATTAAGATGATAAAGATATACATTTTTTTTCTTAGTTTGGAGTGCACCTGAAAAGTATGACAAAATCGCAGCACAGTTAATGCTACCAAAAGGAGGCGGGGCTTAATTTTTACGGGGAATATTAACTATGACAGCACACGAAACTAACAATCTTTAAAAATACCAAAAAATGATGTGATTTGCGATTTTAAACTGTAGGAGATAATTAAACTACATCAAAACTTACTATATCATGCGTTTTTGTCGTTAGTTAATTCCCACATAGCAAGGTTTAAACAAGTCACTGATCGCACTGCATTTGTCGATATGACGTCATTCTATAAAACTTGACGCAGTTTGTATGCAGTGAGAGGCGGGTCAAGTAATATTTTCACAACGAAGAAATGTAATTTATAATTAAATAAAATATTTTTTGCAGATTTTTAAGAGGCCATTAATTTAGATACAATGTCCTTTTTATGATTTTGTTCATATATTTTCCGTACATTTCCTATTTAACGGATTCTGCCGTATATTTGTATGCAGGTACATTGGAGGATAACAAAAGGGTCTTAATAAATCGATCTAGTGCAAGGACATACCCTCAATGGATCATGGAAAATTTTTAATCATAAACTCTAGAAGTATTAAGCTATTTGAAAAGTGCTGCGATCCTGTTGAAATCTTGAAACTGAATTATTTATTTCTATATTTAATGAAGCTGACCAGCATAAATTCAGTATGCGTTCATACAAGTATGATTTTAACAATGGAATAGTAAAATCTATATAGGATTGCAGCACTTTTCATAAACTATAATGGGTGTTGAAACTATTTAAAATTCAAACTTTGAATTTTAACTTGGTTATGCCCTTGCACTATTGAAATTTATAGATGACCTCAATACTGCAAGTATATGTGCTAAAATCACGTGACTGCCATATCACGTGACAAGTCTAAATAGAAAATCTAATCGTCCTCAATATGTAGTTAATAACCATAAATACATTTGTCCGATTTTAGTAAAGTACTAAAAAGAATCGCCATCCTGAAAAAGAATATATTCTGTATCATAAAAAATCGCCGATATTTCCATTGCGCACCTTAACTGTACTGCGATTACGATATGCATGCACTTTCTTTTCAATTTCCAAAAAGCAAACATCATATGCAGTCAATATTAATGTCTATGTAATCCATTAAAATTCAAGGTGTTGGTCTGATGGCCTATAGAGATTGAACATTTATTTAAATTTCCAACAAAATGAATCAGTAAAATATATTGCAAACAGGTGAAGATGAATGTTTTCCCTCAGAATTTCTTGTGAGGACTGAAAACCTTCGCTACCAAAGGGCTTTCGGTCCATTACACTCCCCCCGCTGGAGGTAAAACTCTTTAGTTGATTGTCCATAAAAAGAGACCCCCCCCCCCCCCGAAACAAGTTTGGATAATTTTTATTTTTACTCGGATATTTTTAAGTGGGTAATACTTAAACCCCTCTTCCCCCTCAACAGGAGAAATTGAAAAAAACCCATGACCCATCCGTGATTTTGACCCAACCTTGATTTTATTTTCTCAATTACAAAATAAAATTTGGATCTTACAGTGTACACGTGTTGTTTACTGAACCAATGAAATATATTTCACTGTTATACATGTAAATCTGTCAGCAATCTCACAGCAACGTATATTGTTGTTTGGTTACTTTTCTGTTCGCTGGAATCCATTCTTTCTTTAAAATTATTTTTTTAATTAAGAAAATTACATTTATTGGTGGATCAAGATCTTTACTGGATAATTAAATATTGCGCACACCATTCAGTAAGCTCATTACCTACTCCCCCCCCCCCTCCCCGGTTTGCGTGTTAAGAGTGTCATATTTATAATTGTACTTTGTGTTTTCAATGCATTGATAACTTATCATGAAAATGTTATTATTCCTGATGTTTGAATTTGTTATATAATGTATGGATTCGACCTTATTATGGCCCTCCTTTATAATTGTTTTTCTATGTTTTATTCTGATTTATCGGACAGCGGCAAGCAAATTTCAAGATATAAGTATTTCGCGTTCAAATTCCAGATTTTAAGTAGTAATAATGCAATATGTCGAATGATTGCACAAATATGTCGATTCCGAGTTTTTCAAAATGTTAAAGTTACATAGTGAGTCAATATCGTGTGTTTCTTTTAAGATAATTGTATCAGAAGGCTTAAGATTTCTGAGAAATATAAATAAGTTTTGAGATCTCAACTGCACGGTAAAAGCAAGAAAAGACTGCAAAATGTACCGGAAAAAGAAAAGTTGTATCTATGGCGTGGTTGTTATCGTCATTGTCAACAATGTCAAGGTCATGTGTCTTCTATTTTTGGCTTGAAACTTGTAAACTACATTGAATTGGAGCAATCAAAAGTGAGGAATACGTTCCGATCATCTTTTTGAAGATTATATCAAAATCCTCGGTCATTCGACATTTCTATCTATGGAATTGACCCCATGGTACAGTAACGTCTTCAACTTTTCTGCGCATGCGAACCTTAAAGAGGAAGAAGTGAAGCAATATTTTCGTGTTGGGGCAACTAAAATTATTTTTACTTTTATTTTTATTTATCCATTAAAGTAGATTCTTCAGGATCTGAAACCTAATACTTTCAAGAATTGAAAAAAATTTGCATTCGTCTTGAAAAAATTCTACTTTTGTCAATTTTTCTGTTTTTCCGTCATGGTGTCTCTTTAAATATTCCTTAGTTTTTTTCGGAAATGTGTTTTCAACACTTAATAGATGTAAAATGCAAAGAAATGCCAGTAATTTAAAGAGGTACGAATTCTTAAGCGAATTTCTATAGAATATAAAACGTTTTGAATTTAATTAAAACCCCCGAGCTTTAAAGTTTGGACATAAAGTGATACATGTATCTTAAAACATTAATGAGATATTTGATGAGTCATGGGAAATATATATTATCAGTTATTTCTCATAGAAATGAAATAGAAAGAATGTTATCTTATGTGAATATTGTATTCTTAAAAAGTTCAAATATATAAACAAAAACGTGTGTGTACATATACAAAGCATGTCAGAGTAAAACAAAATAAACACTTATCATTCCAAAACAAGCATTCTGAGAGTATTGTATTAGCAATACTAGTCCCCTACCGGCAAGTGTAATCTGGTTCCCGTTAAAAATTGAAAATGCCATAATTCCGTCAAAAACCAGTAAGCGGAACGAAATGCAGACTTGATCTATAACTCATCAAGGTAAAGTCACATGTGTAACAGAGACATTTTGTGCCTCTGCTGGGGATTGAACCCGGGGCCTCTGGCTTGCCAGTCCAGTGCTCTACCAGTTGAGCTAAAGGGTTAACCCACTAGCCTAAGCTAGTAGGATGCCATGTATCTTACACTACCACATTGTCCCTCTCCAGAGAATGAGATGTCCTCATCTCTTTTGGAGTGCCGACGCCTGTGGGGCGAAGTTCTGGGGGCAATCACTTTCACCCGCCAGAGAACACCTGGGTCCCAACGTGGGCGCCAAATGTATATCGTCATTATAATAAATCTCCTACTTTATAATTCATATTTGTCCATCCTGACCGAGAGTTGTTGTATCATCCCTTTGATTTCCTCCATATCTGATTCATTGGAAATAGATGATTTGGCAATTTGCTTATTTCCTATGGCGGATACTCTTGAAACTTGGTCCATCTCAATTTGTCTAAGTGCTACTCGTAAACCATCAAAATCTTCTATCGCATCATACTTGTGGCCACTGATATCTTTCAATGATGGCTTCAGTCCTGTCCATAACATTGATCGTAGCATACTATCCATAGCGTTCCTTCTAACTATTCCTTGAATAACAGCCTTGCCTAAAATGTCTTCTAGGCGACAACTCCACGCAGTAACGGTTTCATCTTCTTTTTGTCTAGCTCCGTAAAAATGAGCAAGGATATCTTCTTTCTTTTCTATATCTCCAAACATACTGTCCATTTTCTGCAATATTTCCTCAATAGAAGCTTCAGGGCCTATCCTCATCTGAACTCTTCCTGCTTCTCCTTTCAGAGATCGTCTAATCGATTGAAGTATCAATGGACGTGGATATATCTCCTCCCTCAACAAACAACTGACCTCATATCTCCAAAGGTCATATGATGTTTCATTCTTATTCATACCTCCTGAGAATATAGAAATTTTTGGTGGTTCCTTTAGAATACTTGTAGTGACTGTTTCTGTAGTTGACACAGGAAATGGACTACTAGTATCGCTATCTCCTTTCATCTTAAACTTCTTTGGTTTAACTAACGGAGGTGGTAAGAGAGGTGGTATGCTAGTCTGTGGTTCCTTTTTAATTGCACTTGGTGAAAGAGTGAAATGTTTTATTTTCTCTCCTGGATGGGCATCTGCCTTTTTACCTCCAGTTAATAGTTCTCCAGACTTCATCAAGTACTCTTGCATCCATATTTTCAAATCATCTGGGTTGCTAACTTTTGGCATCTCTTTTAATTCTTTGAGAGTTTTCAACAAATTTGCGTATTCATCCTCCTTGGAACCTTTCTCTGGTGATTCATTTAATTCCAGGCTCTCTTCCTCAGTACCTTCCATTTCATCGCTTTTTTGATCCTTTCCAGTTGCCATGATGTATTGTAGTTGGAATGTGCGGAAAAGATAACTGTGTATTCAAAACACGAAAACGCGTTGTACATGTACACTCGAGCAAAATCACGACTAAGTCACGTGAAACACAAAATAAAGTTGTAAGTCGTAATTAAATTCTAAATAAATTTAAATAAACTAAATAAATAGACTTAATTAAATTGACTAATTATATGCTGAAAAAAAAATATTAAACCTGAAATTCAAATTTGATTAAATGTCTTATCAAGCTAAATAACTAATTATATTTCAATCTAAATGATACTACGAAAACCTAATGCGGATAATTGATGACAGACTCAAATTGATCAGAAATTTAACCTACTTACACCAAACAGAACTAAATACAACACAACAACACAACTCCTTGGACAACAAACCACTGAACTTCAAATCACAACTTCAAACAAAATACAACTGTGTGCAAGCAAGATGTGTGTATGTTTCCTTTCAAACAACACTATCTCTCAACCTATCTGAAATCCCTGATGACTTATACTCCTATTTATTTCATTTAATAAATGTTTTGTTTTCAAAAATAAATTAATAAATAAATGGCTTATCTACATACAAAAAAAATGAAGGGAGAAAGAAAGAAAAAATTGTAAACAAACACACTTCCGGTACCGTGACCTTGACCTTGACTTAATTCAGAAAACACCAAAAACTCGAGTATGACTATGCAAGTAAAATAAATACACAACAAACTCTTACCATGTTGTCTTTAGAGTCAAATATACACACTAAACACACAATAATGTTTCTGCAGAATAGCAAATAATTGTATGCATACAGTAAGTTTTGTATAGGCCTAGATTACTAATGTAAACACAATTCGTTGACACTAGTGCACTTTGACGACGAAGAATTCTGTCTGGTTTAGAATATGCGTACGCAGAGATCTATTCTACATGTAAATATAGCACTACAGCTAAGTATATTTACCAGAAGTAGAACATCTTAATGTCTCGATCCCTCCGGAGATGAATATCGACGATGAACAGAATTATTCCAGCGTTGAAAAGTAGGAAAACACAAGTTGTCAAATCTCTGTGATGGTTCACACGCTATTTTCACTTTCCGGTGTTGAGCGTTGAATTCCGATCCCGATCTAAATACCAGTCGACATCCAGGACTGCGGTAAACATCACGTTGGGCGCCAAAATGTAACAGAGACATTTTGTGCCTCTGCTGGGGATTGAACCCGGGGCCTCTGGCTTGCCAGTCCAGTGCTCTACCAGTTGAGCTAAAGGGTTAACCCACTAGCCTAAGCTAGTAGGATGCCATGTATCTTACACTACCACATTGTCCCTCTCCAGAGAATGAGATGTCCTCATCTCTTTTGGAGTGCCGACGCCTGTGGGGCGAAGTTCTGGGGGCAATCACTTTCACCCGCCAGAGAACACCTGGGTCCCAACGTGGGCGCCAAATGTAACAGAGACATTTTGTGCCTCTGCTGGGGATTGAACCCGGGGCCTCTGGCTTGCCAGTCCAGTGCTCTACAAGTTGAGCTAAAGGGTTAACCCACTAGCCTAAGCTAGTAGGATGCCATGTATCTTACACTACCACACATGCCAAAAATCAACTCAATATCTTCAAGCGTTTAAAAAAAATTGCGGAAAACCCCGAAAAATTTAAAAGGTCGTAATTTCGTCAAAAATTGAAGCGGAACAAAATGCAAACCTGATCTGTAAATCATCAAGATACACTCACATACCAAAAATCAGTTCAATATCTGCAAGCGTTTAGAAAAAAGTGCGGAAAACCAGGTGTGACAGACTGACAGACAGACAGAGGGACAGCTAGACGGACAGAAAAACGGACAGACAGACTCAGAGGAAACGTATAGTCCCCTCCGGTTTCACCGTTAGGGTACTAATGATGTTGTAATGTCTATACAAGATATGAAGCAATTTTTATAGCTTGGTTTTTATTGATGTGAAATTTCATACACTTCTGTTTGAAAATAGATAGAAAAGGATATATTATATTCCACAGTTTTATTTTATTTTATTAGTCCCCTACCGGTGAAACAGGAAGGGACTATAGGTTTCCTTTGGGTCTGTCCGTCCGTCTGTCTGTCTAGCTGTCTGCCCATCCGTCTAGCTGTCCCTCTGTCTGTCTGTCAGTCTGTCCCACTTGGTTTTCCGCACTTTTTTTCTAAACGCATGCAGATATTGAGCTGATTTTTGGTATGTGAGTGTATCTTGATGAGTTACAGATCAAGTTTGCATTTCATTTTGCTTCATTGATTTTTGACGGAATAATGGCATTTTCAATTTTTAACGGAACCAGATTACACTTGCCGATAGGGGACTAGTATTGCTAATGCAATAGTCTCAGAATGCTTGTTTTGTTCTTCTTTTTTTTAATGAAGATTTTGTATAATTTATTTTAAATTGAAAAAAAAAAAATTCAATCTGTAAATACATTTACTTGTTGTGAGATACTTTATTTTCAAAGCAGAAAACATAAAAAATGAGAAATTGTTTTTGAAAAATTGTTCATAAGAATTAAATTTAAAAATATGTATGAGAAGACAATATCATATTTCGATTATATATTACTATATATACATGGTATTTTGAACAACTATACTTCTATGAGAGAATGGAACGAAAATTTTTCTCCTTTGTGTGAGAATTTTGAAGTTGAAGATGATATATGTATAGAACATCTCCTGTTTGATTGTAGCATTATCAAGCCTAAAGGGAGAAAATTAGCTCATTTCTAAAATTTAATATTACTTGGAAAGTACTTGGATTAAATAATGTACCTAGTGAAAAAAAATTGCTTTTCAATAAAATAAATGTGTCTTTGTTAGCTTCAATATTTACGAGTATAGGGTGAAATCTAGATAGCTAAACGAGAGAATGTCTGTGAAAAAGTTCCTATATAGGCTTAAATCTATGCTTTATACTCAAGACGCTGTTCATAAAGGGGCTGAGACACAGATGTGAAGCTCATATTTTCCAAAATTTTCTAAATAATATCATGAGTTATATGTTGCTGGAGCACTTCACAAAATATATTAAAAGCGTAATAAGAAAATTCTTTTATCTGCAAATTATTAAAACTACGATTTTTTGACACATATACTTGCACTTTCAGAATGTAAACTTTATCCATAATACTTAAGAAAAATAGATTTTTTTTTGTGTGTGTGTTAATGAAAAATAGGAAAACTATAATCCAGAATGTTCAGAGTGGAAATGCGAGAAAGCAAAACCAACTCATCTGAGTACTGTCAGTCCGTGCTCTGAGTGATGTGTGCAAACTAAACAAATTGAACATAATCGGTAATGTAAACACTATCAATAACAGAGCTCTGTCCTGTTTTTTTTTTTATGTGATGTTATGAAGAATATCGTTGTCATTGAATTATTGGAATATTCATGTAAATTCAAATCATTAAACTGATGTTATTTTTTTTTTAATAAAAATAGATATTTAAAATTGTAAACAATGCAACCGTGTCCAGGCCTCTTTAAAACGATCGGTCAGGTTAGAAATAGTATTTATCGTGATATAGATGCTTTTCTGTAAAAACTATAGATATTGATTATCTGTGTTGTACTAGCTGCATGATTATGGTATCCAGCCATTAGATAACCAACCATGGTATTCAAGGTTCCACCCTATGTAACACGTTTTTCTTCCTTTATAGATATGTTAAAATTAACATAGATTAAACAAAATTTAAAAATAACAATATAAATGTAACGAAATTAATACTTATTTAAGAGAAAAATTAATATGCACAACATTCTAAAAGGAAAAAGAAATTTTAAAAAATGATGAAAAATAAGTGATATTATTTTTTTCTCTTCCGAATAAATTGTTCAAATGCATATCAGTAACAATCAAGATAGTATATAGCCAATATCCATGTAGAT